CTCCACTTGTTCATTGCTGATAAATAGAAACCCAATTGATTGTCGTGTGTTGACCTTGTATCCTTCCACTTTGCTGAATTCACTTACTAGCTTTGCTGTGGATTCTTCGAGGTTTTCTATGTGTAAAATGGCGGGAGTAATAATAATATCAGAACCTGTCTAACTTCATGATCAGCCCAAAGCTGATTCCCACGAGGCAGAGGTCAGACATATCTCCATACTCCAGCCCTTTACTAATTATAACACTAGCCATCCTTCCCACCAGATTCTCTCCTCTTCTGGGTTTGTTAATCCACTGCAATGGCCGCACAGAATTCATAGACCATACTTACAGTTAAGTGGTTTATTAAGGAAATAACAGGGTACAACTCAGGATCAAGAAGCATATAGGCAAGGTCTCCCTTCTTCAGTGCAGGATGTTGCTCTCAGTATTGGAGGACTCCTCTCAGAACCCTGAGGACAGGCTGCTTTTGACCCTCTCAGGACAGACCTCTCTGCCTTTGGCCCTCCTGCCATCACCAGTGACTCTGCCACAGGACCCCTCCTGGGCCTGTTCCCACTGACTCTGTTGCTGGGCTCTTCACTGTCTTCATTGTTATAGCCCTGGTTACATGCTACAGCTCTTTTAAGGGTTCCTTGCTTCTTTTCTCTCTAACCCTCCTCTCTTCTCTCCTGCTTCTTCTCCTTTCTTCCTTGCTCTGCTTCCTGTCTTCCTGCTTCTTTCTGTCTGAAAATCCTTTGTGGGATTGGCCACATGTATACAAAACTCCTCCTCAGTTTCAAGATATGGCCCTCTCCCTAGGCCATATCTAACCTATCCCCAATCCCCTCTCAGTAAGTAAGCCACAGACACTTCATTTGGTGTAGGCTATGGGAACTTCATTTGCATAGTCTGTTGACCAATTCCTGCAAGATGCATACCAATTACAGGGAAGGCTGCAGCCCAGGACCAGACAAAAAATATCAAACCTCAGCTTGGTCATAGCTTACCCAGGAAAGGTCAGTCATCCAGGACAAAAGTAACAAATCCTCTTAGGTAGAAAATAGGGTAAAGGTAACACCTCAGGGTTTAGGGGGGAAATCTCTCTAGCTGTTTTTCCCAAGAAACAAGGCAAAAGGCCACATAAAGGAACTCATTTCAACACACTGTATATAGGCTCATGTCATCTGTGACAGAGGATAGTTTTCCTTCCTCCTCCCTGATTTGGATATTGTTTTGTTTTTTCCCCAGCCTAATTACTCTGTCTAGGACTTCCAGAGTGTAGTCCTTTGGTGACGCAAACAGTTAAGCACTTGACTGCTAATAAGTTGAGGCGCCTTGGAAGATGAACCTGGTGGTCTGCTTCCGAAAGGTCACAACCTTGAAAACCGTATGGAACAGTTCTGTTCTGCACACGTGGGATTGCCATGAGTCAGAATCAACTCCATGTCAACTAACAACAAGGACTTGCAGAACGATGTTGAATAGCAGTGTTGAGAGTGGAAATGTTAGCATTTTCAACTGCCTAATGATTGGTGTCTGAAGTTCTGGGGCAATGCAAATGGTTAAGTGCTCAGCTACTAATGTAATGGCTGATGGTTCAGATGTACCTGCAGGTGCCTCAGAAGAAAGTTCTGGCTATTGGAAGCCCTCTGGAGTGCAGTGCTGCTCTGAAACGCATGGGGTCAGTATGAGTCAGAATCAACTTGATGGCAACTGGTTTAATAACTTATTGGAATAAGTCATTTAATCACTGCAAGTTTAGTTTCCTCAACTAATGATAATACATACCTTGTGAGAATTAAATGAGATAAAATGTAGAAAAGAATGATAAATCTTAGCATAAATGTCATTATTCCTGGGCAGGGGCAAGTGGTTGACCCTTTTTGGCCCTGGATTTGTAATTCTAACAAGATGATTTACTTGGCCATTCTAGCAAAGGGATTGGAGAGTTTAGTATGCAAATGAGGTGCGTAAAACCCTGTGGGGATTGGTCAGTTACTATGCAAAGTCAGTGAGTTTATATACTGAGAGGATTGGTCAATTTTGACTCCTGCTAGGCTTGTAATGACCATCCTACTACCATCAAGAAGAATCTGGAGCAGAGTACATCCTTTGCCTCTGGGATCCTTGCTCTAAGAGCCTCCTAAACCCTGGAGACAAAGAACTGTAACACAGGAGATGCGTGAGGCAGTGCAGGACGGCACAAGACAGTTGTAGCAGTATGAGCAGTGAGAACTAGAATACTAGTGGGAGACAGCTGCAGTGGGCTTCATTGCAAACCAATGAAGGAGAGAGTTCTGAGTGCCTTCAGGCAGGAGGGTTTCTTGTGGGGTTGGGTACCTCTAAGTGCTTATCTGCAGAACCAAGGAGTTGTAACACTTACCCAAGCAAGCATAGCTGAAAGAAGGGCCTGCTAGCCTGGCTGAGAGGAGGATAGTCTGGCCAAGAGACTAGCCTGGCTGAGAAGCATGGCCTGCCTACAGGCACAACTGAGAAGCTCAGAGCAGTCTTGTGTTTGAAGCTGTTCTGATTGGTGAATTGCATTTTATCTCCAGAGTTGTATCTTGTTCCTTCTAAGTGGATCCTGATCCTGAGTTGTAACCTGTAACTAATAAAAAAGCTCGTAAGTGTGAGTATGGTTTGTGAGTTTTGTGTGACCACTGCAACAAATTCCCAGACCCAGCAAAGTAGAGTGGTGTGGGAATTGTTGGTGCTGGTGTCATAATTGGTTAAAAAAAAAAAAAAAAAAAGTTGGAGAGGAGTTATATCTGACCTTTGCCTCATAAGAGTCAGCTTTGTGCTGATCCTGGTGGTCTTGATTCTCATCCCTTCCTTTGAAGCTAGAGGACTTCTGATGCTGGTACTTTCACACAGAGCATGAGGTTGAAGTCATACGTAGTTAAAACTAATTACCCTTAAATTCCTTGACCTTGCCCACAGACCATTCACCATTTGTCAGTAAGTTCTATAGTCAGTACCTTCTCCAACATGAAACAGATTTCCCTTTCTTCATTTGGGCACCAGCTAAAATTACTAACTTGGGTTTAGGAGCCCAACTACAAGGTCAGAATCAGGTAGTGAGAGGTGAGTGGAAACAGACTGGGAGAGAGTCTGGGGAGAGGTAGATTCACAATTCCCGTCAATCTTAGCTCACCTCTTGCTCATGCTGGCTCTTGAGCTCAGTTCAACTTTCATACCTTTAACAGATACTTATTGATCACCTACTGTGTGCCAGGCACTGCTAGGCACTGGCAGGTGGCCTGTTCCCCTATGTATAAAACAGTTAAAAAAAAAGACAAAAAAAAAAAAATCCTGCCCTCATGAAATTTATCATCTAGTGGAGGAAGCAGACAATAAATAAAATAGTTTGTTAGATGGGAGTGCTCTGGGAGACAAAGCAAGGAAGGGAGTAAGGAAGTTCTGGAGGGGTTGATTGCAAGGAACATCTGCTGAGGTGTGATTTGGATTGAGCCCTGAAGGAGAACAGGAGAACCTTGTGGATGGGGGGGTCATTGTAGGCAGAAGGAACTGCCACTGCCAAAGCCCTTAGGCTGTCAGGTGGGCACCTGCCATGTTTGAGGACAATGAGGAGGCCAAAGTGGCTAGAGTGGAGTAAAAGAGGGGGAGAGCACGGAGATGAAGTCAGACACTGTAGGGACTACAGGCAATTGTGTTGACCTTGACTTCTTGACTTTTACTTTGAGTGAGAGGCCATTGGAGTTTTGAGCAGGTGAGGGATACAATATGTTTAATAAGATCACTCTAGCTTCATTGTTGAGAATAGCGTGGAGAAGAGGGACAGGGGAGCCAGTTGGGAACAGTTGTAGTGGTCCTAGTGAGAGATGATGGTGACTTGAACCCAAGTGGTGAAAATTCTGGACATACTGAAGTTACAGTGGCCACTGAGTTTACTATTGAACAAGATACGGGTTATGAAGCAAGGAGATGGGCTCAAGGGAAACTTCCCTTGAATGGGCTGATTTGCCATTAATTGAGGTAGGGAAGGTTGTGGGAGGAGGTAGGGGCCAGGGGAGGTCAGGAGTTCAGGTTTGGACACACCTGAGATCCTACCACTCGGGAAAAGTAAACAGTTGAATATATGTATATTTCAGCTCAAGGTAGAGGTTCGGACTGGAGATCTGTATTTGGGAGTCATCATCATAGAGTATGTTGAGAACCATTAAACTGGGGATCTCCCAGGTCCAAGGATTGTACCCCAGGACTCTCCAACATTAAGAGGTCAGGAGATGCCAGAGAAGCAGCCAAGGGCACTGGGAAGGAGTGGCTAAGGTGGTGGGAAGAGTCGGGGGCAGTGTGGTGTCCTGTCACCAGATGTAAGGCCGAGAGGTGTGGTGAGGTGCTTGCCCTGTTCTGATAGTCATTTCTTTCTCTGAACATTGGTAGTTACATTTGAGCATGTGAAATAAACATGAGGCAATTTCACTGTGCTGTCAAGTTTTGAAATATACCATCCCAGCAGCATGTGGGAGTCCAGGAAAAGCAATTGGAATCAGACATATTCTGCTCTAAAACAGCCTGGGGACTGTAGTCTGGGTGAGGAAGGGCTTCTCTGAGAGGAACATGGCACAGTGGCCTGGCCCAGCGAGACATGGGGTACATCCAAACTCTGTAAGCCTGTTCCCCTATGCATAAAACAGTGTTAGCACAGTGGTCAATGACATGAGACAAAGTATATGTGAACTGCTGTATGGAAAGTGAATTTGCTCTGTAAATCTTCTCCCAAATCACAATTTAAGAAAAAAAAAAGAGTTAACAACCCCACGTCCTAGAGGTCTGTGAGGATTCAGAGAAACTGCCCCTTCAGTGCTTAGCCAGGTCGCCCTGGGATTTACTAAGCCCTCTGTACATGTGCAGGATTCTGTGTGTCACCAGGCCCGTGCTGTGGGTCCCAGGGTGGGAGTACAGATTCCTCTCCAGGTCACAGCCTGGGGGTAGGGGGATGTCCCATGCAGGGCCACTTAACCTTTTGCTTGGCCTCCAATAAATCACGCCACTCTGTCATTCCAAGAAATCTTAATTTCTTTATTGAATTTTTGACTCAACAATTTTTTTTTAACTTTTTGTTTTTTTCTGAAACGTTCTTGTTGTTATGAGCCTTTTGTTTTGTTCTCGTTAAATGCACTCGACCCAAAATTGGTTTGGCATATCGAAAAGGAGACCAAAGAGGGGGGGACTGGGGAAGTAGGAAAGGAGGCCCGAATGGACAGAGAAACTGAGGATGAGAAGACAAAGAGGAACACAGAGACAGCAAGAAAGACAAAGGAAGGGGAAGTGAAGACACAGGGAAGACGAGGGAAAACAAAAAGGGGGGAAATCAGAGAAAAACAAGATTTAAGAGCAAATGAATTTAGGAGCCCAAGGAAGGGAGTAGGAGAGGAAACCAAGACCCTTCTCTATACTGTCCCAGCTGAGGGGCTTCAAGGCACCAGGTCTGGCTGGGGTGGGGGAACACCTGGGCTCTTGGGGGTGGCTTTGCACTGGGCTGCAGAGATGGCAGGGGTCCTGCCATACAGCTCTGAGGCCTAGGAATCCACCTTAGTGGTTCCTGCTTGAATGGGAACCAAGGGACTCACCATACCCTCTCCCCCTTGATTGTCCGAGTCTGGAGAGATAAAGGAGGGCTGAGCAGGGGAGAGGAAGTCAACTCCTTCCATTCCTTCAGTAGCTCCCTCCAGGAACTCACCCACCCCCTGCCCTGGCCTCCCAGCCCCCTTCTGGTGGCACAGGCAGCCTCAGACAGGGCTCACCTGGGCCAGGCCAACTCTGTCTTACCCTTGTGTCCAGTTCTTCACAGACCTCTACTGCCCCTCCCCACCATGAAGCTCCTGGTCTAGTGAAGCTGAGGAAGGGCCAGAGTTAGCAGTCTCCTGCCCCTCCCCCCCACAGCTGCCCCCTTCCTTGCTCCTCCTCCCCATGCAGCCCCCACACCCACAGTCTCCGGTGAAATGGGTTAAGCCCTCTCAGGAAAAGCCAAAGCAGGAACCTAACCCTACCTTCTCCCCATACCTGTTCCCCTACATGGGACAAACCACCATCTTTGGTCTGACCCCTTCTCCCCCAATCGATGGGGACACACCAGCCCCAGCTCCTCAGGAGGAAGGAGGGGCTTTCTAGCAGCAAAAAGGGTCCCTCCAGCCACCTACCTGTCCCCTTCCCTTGTTCCTCCCTAGAGCCCCTCCACATTAACCCAAAGTTCATGGCAGCAGCAGGCCGAGACCCGGAGATGTTTGAAAACTCATGGCACTTGTGAGAAACAAGGGACGGGCAAGATACAGGGTGGGGTTGGAGCAGAGATGGAGGGGCCGCCCGTGGGGAAATGGCAATGAAGGAGATGAATGAATGTAGCATTGGGGCTACACTACCCCAGAGTTGGAGGGTAGGGTGGGGGAGGCCAGGATAACAGGCTGGAAGGGACTGGGAGTTGGAGAGGTATTCAGGAGGTACCCCAAACTGGAGTTTCCAGGATCTGGAGGTTTGAGGGGTACAGCCCCAGACATGGATGTCCTGCCCCAGACCCTCATAAGTGATTGATTCTCTCTCCTGCAGGGTCCTTTCTACCCCTTTACCCCTCAGAGAAGACAGCCTCACTATTCCCAAGCCTCCTCAGCCAGGCCCACCACCACCAAACTCTGCCACCCTCCCCTACCCCAGCTCCTTCCTGTCATTATGCCCCCCATTAACCTCTCTAGATGGGAACAAAGCCCTGTCTCCTTGGCCCAGAGTCCCAGAAGCAATATACAAGAAGCAGGAACTCAAAGGGACAGCACAGCCATCTTGGCAAAAGCATCTTTGGGTGTGGGGGTGTCTCCCCTGGGCCAGTGGGGAGGCAGGGGATGTGATACAGGCCCCTGGTCCTGGGGCAGGCGGTGAGGTACTCCCCCCAGGAGGGCTGAGAGATGCCTGGCAGGGGGCCGGGAGGAGAGGACAGACACGTGGTGCCAGGAAGGAGACAGGTTCTTTGTTTTGCTGTTGCTTCTAGATTTAGTTTTCCGTCTCTGGGTTGTAAAAAGCTGCACTGACGGCCTGCCGTGCCCTGCCCTGGCCAGGGATGCGTACACACACAGAGAAGTCCTGGCTGCCGGGTGCAGCGGGCACTGCTCTGCTCCTGGGAAAGCCAGAGCTGGCCTGGGCCGCAGGCTCCCGGTGGCTTCAAGTGATGAGATTCTTTTTCTTTTTTTTTTTTGTCTTTTTTTCTTTTCTGTTTCGTTGAAATATTTACAGCAATGGGGGAGGAGGAGAGAGGAAGGGGGGTAAGAGGGCCCCCTAGGGAAAGATCCAAGCCCAGGACCCACTCCCCAGGGAGATCCAGACCCAAAATCTGCTCCCCAGATAGCAGAGCCCACAGGACTGGGAACTGCCCAAATATGGCCACCCCTGTGGGCTGGGGGCCCTGCGGGGAGTTGTGCTTCTTCAGGAGTCACCCCAAGGGAGGGGATCATTGGGTGCAGACATGGAGGGCTAGGGGGCAGGCTTGGCTGGGAGGCAAGGATAAGGAGCAAGGGGAAGGAGCTTCGGAGAAAGTTCAACCTTTAAACCACCAGCCACAGCCCTGGCCCTGAGGCTTTCTCTTGGGCCACAGGCCCCAGTTTCCAGGAAGTAGGGAACCATAGTCAGGAGGAACCTGTCCATCCATCTTTCTGCCCCCACTGCTTCCTCCTGGTGGAGCCATAGCACTGGCTACAGAGGAGCAGCTGACAGGTTCGATCCAGCGGGGCCTTTGGCAAACTCAGAAAGCAGCTGCCCCTCCTGCCCAGGAAAGCCAAAGCCATCATTTCCCTCTACGAGATAGGAAGGGGGGGAAGGTCCAGAAGTGGGCTGTGCCCTTCCACGCTCCCACTCCTCACTGCCTTGGGGACCCCTGGGCTCCTTACTGCACTTCCCCAAAAAACAGAGCTGGCGCATGTGGCTGGTGGGAAACCCTGCCTGTGACCCTGCACCCCAGGTCCCACCAGAGTCCCCTAGAGGGTGCTGTCAGGCCCACAGCTGGGAGTGCCTCTAGAGAAGAGTGGTCCCACAGCCACTGCCTCCACCAGTCCCCTTCCCTACCAGAGCCCTGCCCAGGGTTCTGCCTCAGCTTTGGGCCACTGGTCTCTGGTCCATGAGGTCCCTCAGAGACTGGTGACCAGCTGCATCTGCCCATCCCCATCAGGCCCTGGTCCCTCCAGGCCTGGGGCCGCCAGGTAGCCCTCATGGCTAGGCCGTCGCACCTGGTAGTAGCCCTGCAGGGGATTCCGGGCCACCAGGGCCGGCGGGCGAGAGGTGTAGTAGATTTCAGGGGGGCCAGGAGGTGCAGGAGGGGGCGGGGGCAGGGCCTCACTGGGCCCTTCGGGGCTGCTGTCCGGGTAGGAGGGCGAGTCCCGCAGGTTGGCCCCGCTGGCATAGAGGGAGTCCCGGCCAGGAGGGGAGGAGAGGGGCCGGCTGGTAGCCCCATCCTCTGCTGTGCAGCTCTCCGACTCGTCCAGATCACTCTGGTACAGCACCGACTGGGCCCGGGGCAGCAGCAGCGGCTCCTCCAGGGCCTTGTAGAGAAGTTCAATCTCGGCCCGGTCAGCACTCCCAGGCCCCCCAGCCTCTTCCTCACCACTGCCCCCCGGAACGGGCGGCACTGGGGGCTCGGGTGGGGGAGGGCCCTTGGCCACGCTGCTGCTCCCCCGAAGGTTGTTGTGAACCAGCTCAGAGATGATCATCTTTTCAAAAGCGGCAGCGTCAGCCAGGTTCCGGCCTCGAGGCGGCTCAGGGCCCCCGTCCCCTGGAGGAAAATCCCCGCTTCGTAAAGAGTAACTGTTGTTGAAGTTGCCATTTAGGGGAAGGGTGTCCATGCCACAGGCCTCTCTGCCTCCCAAAGGGTGCTCTGCAGGGCAGAAGAGGAGGAGGGACGTCAGGAGGGCGCCTATCCCTGGGCCCGGGTAAGAGGGGCTCGGCCACATCCCTGGGCTTTCTCTGCACTTGCCCCTGTTCCCTGGTGCTCTGGCTCATACGCCCTCTTCCTCACTGGCAGTGGGAATGCCAGGTCAGTAGCAGGTTGGTGGGAGAGGAGGGGACTGGGGACCCAGTCCCCCAGGTCTCACTCGCAATGGGAGTTCAGGATCTCAGCAGTGTGAGGCAGCCTGGGGTGACTGGGTCCAAATGGTTGCTCCTGTGTTGTGACCCGTCACCATCATTTCCCCACCTGAAGGCCCAAACTCAAAGAATACTGTCCATCTGACTGCCAATGGGGGTTGGGTGGGTGGGTGCAGGGCTTTATCCTTAAGTTGTCCTTCTCCCTAATTGAGGCCACCTGAGGCCACTACCTGTCCCACTCAGTCTCAGAAACTTCATCACAAAAGAGCCACACTTACTGGGTTCCCGGTAGCTCCCTGCAGGTAGGTGCCAGCCAGGAGAGAAGAGAGAGAAGGTAAGTGAGCTTAGACTGCAGAGTCCAAGACCCCAGACCCACGGTCCCAAGCAGTGATGGCACACTCTCCTCGTGGCACCGCAGCTACCTCCCCAGAGAGCTTTTACCTGGGGAGTTGAAGACAGGGGGCGAGGAGGGATTGAAGCCCACTGACTCAGCAATGAGGGTGTTGTAGGGACTGGTGCCACCACGGGGCTGCAGGACAGGATTGGTCAGCAGGTGGTTCCCCATAGTACCTGCTCAAGAGGTCAGAGATCACAAAGCTGCCCAGAGACATGAATCTAAGACTGGAGAGGGACTGGAGCCTGGCAGAGACCCCTTCTCACCTCGGTTCAGAGTGGGGGTACTGTTGATGTCACCTGCCATAAAGGAGGACTCTGTCTGTTTCCTCACCGTGTCGTTCCACATCCTCCGAATCCGGCTCTGAGGACACAGCCCAGACATGAGGAGGTGCTCAGTGTGTGCCCCCCTCCCCAAGCTTCCTCACTTGGCAGGACCATCAGAGGCTGGAACCAAGCACACCCTGCCTCTAGGACTCATTCGCGCCCTTAGCCTAGAGAGCCCAGCCTGTGTCCCACCTGGCTTCCATACCTGTGTCCCTGTGTAGTAGCGGGTGTTACTTCGCATGGCTGAGGTCTTGAGGGAGCCATGCGTGCCCCCGGGCGGGGAGCGGATGCAGCAGTAGGAGTGACGCAGGCACTTGCTATACTCCTTGTGCACCTGAGGGCGAGGAAGAACACCAGTGAAAGCAGACACTGGCCTCCTTGGTGACCATGCCACCCGCAGGACAGGTGCAGAGACAGAACCTCCCTGTCATCCTATTTTCCCTGTCCCAGCCAGTCAGTCTCACTCATTTCATTTGGGCCCATCCTCTTTGCCAGCTCCACTGACAGTTGCTCATTCATTCACTCATTTGTTCGTTCTTTCACCAGATTTTAAATCGGCACCTGGTGTGTGCCAGGCACATTTTAGGCCCCAGGATTGGAGGGAACAAAACAGCCACAAAGAAGGGAAGATTGGAAGGGAACGAAACACCTCTAGGCACTTACAGTTTAACAAACGGCAATAAAACATAAATAACAGCATAAATGCATAATAATAACATAAATGCATCTATAGTGTCTGATGGTATTAAATGCTGTGGAGGAAACTATGGCTGGGAAGGGGCTTGGGGAGTGTTGGCAGGTGTCTGTAGTTTTGAGTAGATCAAGGCAGGCCTCATTGCAAAGGAGGCATTTCAACAAAAATTTGAAAGAAAGAAAAAAGTGAGACTTGCAGATATGGGGAAAAGAGTTTCGGCTGCGGGAAAAGCAGGTGCCAAGCCCAGAGGAGGGACCGCATCTAGTGTGCCTGAGAGAGAGAAGAGAGGCAAGCTGGGCTGGAAGGCTGGGGTTTGTGAGGGGTGGAAGCAGAGAGGGGCCTGGCCAGACTGTACTGGGTGGGGAAGGCCCTGTGAGGACAGAACCCTGTGAAGACTTCAGCTATCACTGTGGGAAGCGGGGTCCATGGGACAGTTGTAAGCAGAGCAGCAGGCAACTCCATGTGTGTTCTTGTGATAGCTACTTCCTTTAGCCCCTGCCTCAGTCTTACCTTCCCACACCCAAACAAAAATCTGACTGACCATGGTTCCTTGTTGCTTTTGGGACAAACTCTGAAAATCTCTTAGCTTGCTTTCCCCAACTCTGGTCTGAAGTCCATTCTGACTCACGGTGACTCCACGTGTTAGAACTGCTCCATAAGGTTTCCTTGGTGTAATTTTTATGGAAGCAGTTTGCCAAGTCTTTCTTCCACGGAGTTGCTGGGTGGGTTTAAACCACCACCCTTTAGCTTAGCAGCCGACTGCAAACTGCTTGTGTCATCTGGACTCCTATCTGGAGTGTACCACCTAGTTATTTCCACCCTATCAATATTCTTCCAATATTTGCTATTTCCTGGTATACTTTTACAAAATTTGTATCTTAACACATGATTATTCAAGAAGGAAACGTTTTACCACCATGAAACCCTAATTGCTCAAGCAGGAAACGTTCTGTTTGGGAGGCACCCAAATTCTTGTCCCTCCCTCACACTGATACTGTCCCCCACTTTGGAGAAGGTACATACTTCTCTCACGTCTCCACTCTGTGCACTCCCACACTCCCACCCTTCTGGAACACTCCAATCTGTCATGCTTCCTCATGCCTCCCGGCCACTGTCTTTGCTTTTCGCCTCTGTGAGGCCTCCTAGGCCCTGAGCCTCTGCCTCTCTCACAGGAGGACCTTGTCCCACTGCACACTGCAGGCCTGTTCTCATGCACTTGTTCACCAGCGCCTCCCTCCGGAGTTCCGGGAAATGTCTCTGAGGGTCTGACCTGGGACTGGGTATCTGGGATAAGGGCCACAGAACCCCCACCCTGACCTCACCTTCTTCTGTAAGGCGCAGTGAAAGACAAAGATGAAGACCCCCTGGAAGGCGTTGAAGGTGGTAAAGAGATAGGCCATGACCACGGATTCCTTGTTGATGAAGAGGAGGCCAAAAGCCCAGGTGAGACCCAGCAGGAAAAGCAGCGCAATGGCCCCTAGGGCCCAGGATCTGGGGGGAGGTTGAGGGGTGGGCATGTTAAAAAGCCCGCCAGACAGGGGCGCATCCGTAGCCCAGGCCTTGCCCAGGCCGTGTGCAGGAGAGAGGGATGCTTGGGTGGCTGGGGCTGTGTGCAGAGAGCCCATGTACCCCATCTGAGGTAGAGCAGGCCCCAGGGGAAGCAGCCTGCTCAGCAACACCCAACTGGACTTGGGCCCGGGAGGTAGAGGGGATGGAGGCAGGGGTGGCAGTTTTGCTAACATGAGTCATTCCCTGGCCATTTTCATTTTTGCCCTATTTCCAGACCACTTAACTATATTTTAACTGCTGCCTCCTCTTTAAGTTGCCCTTAAAATGGACTAACCTTTTAAATGTAGCCTTTAAGCTATTTTATCTATAAAACCACAGGTTTTATATGCTAATTATATTTTTTCTAATAGCCATTAAATAGATACACAACCATCTTTGTACTTAAAATCCTGTCTCGGACATCAAAGGTACGAGGACTACATTTAGGGGACTCTGAGAGAGGCCAAACCCCACATGGTGGGCCGGGTCCTGGAAAAGACACAGGGGACAGGTGTGTGTATGTGTGTGTGTGTGCACACACGCGTACACGTGCATGTGCACATGGGTGCTCACTTGATGTTGTCGAGGCGGCTCGAGTCGGGCTTGAGCACGGAGGAGCTTCGGACCATCTTGTGCAGGGTCACCATGAGGAACACCAGGTTTACCTGAGGTGGGAGAAGGGAAGGAAGCTGGCCCAGGAGTGCCCTCTGCTGCCCTCAGTGAAACGACGTTACTGCTACAGCTGCTCACGGGCTCCTGTGCAGGCAGCCTCCCTGGAGAACCCAACACTTTCCACCAAAACACCCACCCCACTGACGTTAACTGGCCCATGCAGCTCTGTGCATAGTGCTGCTGTGAGGACAGGGACCATGTCCAACCATCTCTTGCTCACTTCCCACTGTCTGACGCGGAGCCGGGGCTTGGGCAGCAGCTCCTGAATGCCTGGACCTTCATTTTGGAGTTCCACAGACCCAATCTGCTTTCATTCTTTTAGTTGGCTGCTCAGTTCCAACGGTGTTATGAAACCAGTCCCTCTTGGGGGTTTGGGTGAATGGGAGGATATGGGGTCCAGGCTGGCCTGAACAAAGGAAGACGACACAGCACTGGGATACCACCTTCTGACTTACCACGATAACAAAGGAGACAGGGCCAATGAAACTCCAGATGAAGTAATTGTCCACTCGGAGCCAACAGCTGTAAAAGAAACGGCATGGTAGAGAAGAGCAGCAGCCCTTCTCTGCACTGGGAGGCCAGTGACTGAGGCTGCAGTCTTGGGGTCCCGAGTGGGGTTTGCCACTGAACAGGGAGCCAGGCAGGGGAAGCAACTTGAGGGAATGAGCAGGAGACACTCACGCCTTCTCAGTTCCGTAGCTACGGTAGTCAATAGCAGCCGCGATGCCCACCACCAGGGCTGGGAAGCAGTAGCCGCCCAGGTAGTAGTATTTGGTGCGGGAATACTCGCTCTCAAACACCTCCACCAGCAGCAAATAGAGATGCACACCCTCCAGACAGAGCCAGGAGAAGGCTGCCAGGAAGAAGTAGTGCAGCAAGCCAGCAAAGATGGGGCAGGCGATCTGAGGACAGAGCACCGTAGGTGAGGAGGGCCCCTGCAGGCAGCCACCTTCTCTCCACTCAGAGGTAGCTTCTCCCTGTGCCTGAAGATGGCAGGCACCAGCCCCACATGTGCCTGCCCACCTCATACTGAGTCTTGTCTATCCCGACCAGGAAGAGCAGCTCAGCCAGGAAGAGGTTGATGCACAGGTTCTTGTGGATGGTGTTGCGGTCCGTCTGCAGCCCCCGTAGGAAGCAGAAGGTAGAGATGCAGATGGCCAGGCAGACCAGAGAGATCACAATGCCCACCCAGGTGATGACCGACAGCAGGAGCTCATTGATGCGTCCCTGGTACTGGGGAAGGAGCAGGCACACTCAGGCCCTTGGGCTTGGACATGGCCAGGATCACCACCTCCCCTGACCCGCCAGCCTTCTGCCCTTTTCGCAGATGGGCCTGCTTCTTTGTGCTCTGGGAAGCTTGTGTAGAGGAGACAAAGGGGACACCCACTTCTCCCGAGAGCCCTGGGGAAGCTGGGACTGTGACCAGAAAGCTTCATGCCCCACGCAGACTAGCAGCCCGTGTATGTGAAGCTGGCCCATGCTGTATGCCATGCAAAACCAGATCAGGAGCCTGGCTGAGGGGCGGCACTGGTTGCTTACGATCTCTCGGTGAGCCATGAGCACAGCAAAGTTAGTGAGGTGGCTGCAGGCACATGTGGTATGTGTCTTGTTGGACTCCACCAGGCGGCAGCCCTGGGTCGACCAGTAGCCCAGCATGGACCGCTCCGAGTAGTTCCAGAAAGAGCAGTTGGCATTGAAGTGATTCTTGGCCTGTTGTGTGGTATGGCCAGAGATCAGAACCAGCAAGTCCTTTCTGTACCCCCTACTGCCACCACCACCACCACCACCACCAGCAACGGGGATAATGACAAGCCAGAAAGAAGTGCCTGGAACTTTCAGGCTCATGGTGATAGCCCAGGATCACTGGAGACAAACTGCTCAAGCTGTTGAAGGGAGGATGGCACACCAGGTGGGGTCATATCTGAGCTGCACACTTGCCCCTGGGGTGACTGAAGTCGAGGGGAATAAGAACAGGATGCTGGGACCCCCATGGTAGACAGGACACCTTGGCTCACCTCCAGGTGGGCCACAGTAAAGATGACAGGGTCCATGAGAAAGACACGGCTGGACTCCTTGTTAATGGATGCAGCAATGACCTGTGAGTTCACCACCAGAGAGGCGCCCCCTGGGCCACCCGTGCCAGCTTCTCCCGCCAGCTTCACTGTGGCATTCTCCGTGGACAGGAAGAGGCCCAGGTTGTTATAGAGGATGAAGACAACTTTGACTACACCTGGGAAGGCCAAACACTCTAGTCAGGCCATCAGTCCTCAAAAGTGCACCTCTACCCAGGTCCTCGGCCTCCTGTGGCCAGCTCCTCTACCCTCAGCCATGCTCGCCACTGGGACCTCTTGGGGAGCCCTTCCACAGGAAGTTCAAATAGTAGGGCAGTGGGCCCTTATTCCACCCCTTACTTGCTGTGTGACCTTGAGCAAACCACTAACCTCTCAGCCGCAGTCTCAAGTGGACCAGTCCTCCCCATGTGAGGATCAACTGAGCTGCTCACAGGAGCAAGTACTGCATACTCAGTAGGGCCTTGAGGACCTGTGGACCCTCTGGGGTTTGGCTGCTAACTAAAAGGTCAGCAGTCTGAACCCAACACATGAGAAAGATGAGGCAGTCTGTTTCTGAAAAGATTTACAGCCTTGGAAACCTTATGGGGCAGTTCTATTCTGTCCTACAGGGTTGCTGTGAGTCAGAATCGACTTGATTGCAGTGGGTATGTTTGTGTTTGGAGCGGAGGAATCTTTTTGCATTCGATGGGCCCCAAATTGTACTTGGATTTTTCAGCCCAATAAAAGTTAACCACTTCTCTGTGGAGACATAGCAGAGTCCTGGCTGCGGAACTGTGTTTCTGCCTGAGGCCCCACCCTGGAGCACTGACCATTGCGGCTGTTCTGCTTGATGGTCTTGGCTGATAGCTGAATGGAGTTCTCGCTGGGATACTCCTGGGGGAACACCAGCTCCTGCACCTGGCCCTCCGTGTTCAAGACTGTGACCTCCAGGACTGTGGGGACAGGGAATGGGAGGGCACATGGGATTGGGGTCTGTCCCCCATCCAGGGGCTCAGGCTTCAGAGTAAGGTTACGTGGCAAGGGTCCCAAGGCTGAGGGCCAGGGTGACAAGAATACCTCACGGTCTAGGGCCAAGCATGCCCGTGGTCAAGATTTGGGTCTGAACTTGGCATCCAAGGCCAGAGACTTCCTGTATGATGTGGCACTTACCCACATTTTGCTTGGCAGCTAGGAAGCGGGCAGGCTCCCGGACATTGTCAGCCAGCAGAAAAGCCCCCTCCTCCAAGACATCCAGGAGCATGGTGGCCGTGTGCACCTGCTCTGTGGCATTCATGTCCTTCCAGGACTCAAGAGCCTCTGGCCGCAGCAGATTGTCCACTGTCTCCACCACAGCCTGCACAGGTGGACAGGAGATGGCACTCTGAGACCCCACTGCCCATTTCCTTAGGGGCGTATGTTCCCTCCTCTCAGCCTCCACCCCCCAGTGCTGCCTGGGCCATCTCCACAACCCTGCACCAGCCGCCTGAGCGGGTCTCACCTTGATATAATCCTTGCAGGTTCTCTCTCGCTTGTGCATCTAGGGGTCGAGATGGAGGTGGCATCAGGCCCAGTTTCTGGGCTCCGCTTTCCTACTCCCAACTGTCACATCTGGGGCCCATCATCTTGCTCTTCAGTATAAGTCATCGGTAAGAGAGTCTTAAGGGTATCCCAGCACCCAGAACCATCTGAGACAGCATGGGAGTAAAACCCAGCACCCTTCAGGGTAATAACTACCTTATTGTAGTTCTTGCCAGCCGACTCACGCTCGATGGGCCGCAAGGCCTGCAGCTGGGCATCCAGGATGTCTAGCAGCTGCTCCATCAGCTTTACGGAGGAGGAGACATCGCCTGCGTAGATGGAGCCCCGCGTGTGGCGGGCCAGCTCACTGGCGATGTTGGCTGCATTCTCCCCACTTTTGATCTGTATGAGGGTGTGGGGGTGGACACCAACTCTGTCAAGGACTGTCCTGTTCACCCTGCTCACACAACCCTGCACATCACCACCCACCCCTCGAACCGCCTTCCTCTGCTCAAGTCCACCTCTCCCTCCACAGTAGGAGGCACTGCTCCCTCCACAGGCCAGCGAGGGACCCAACAGTCCCACATTCTAGACTTCAGGCCGTTGTTTCCCTAGTTGCTCTCCCACCCCTGCTGTGTCCCATGCATGGCCATCCAGGACCTGGTGCTCAAGTAAATGTCTATGTCTGGGAGGCGTGGCTGCTGCTGGTACCTTCTGGGCCACCTGGTTGACCCAGGGGGAGGTGCAGTTGCTGAGGTCAGGGCCCCGGGGGTTCCAGAGCCCCAGGGCTGGTAGACACTGGAAGGAGGCAATTCCTGCAGGGACAGACAGGAACAGAGAAGAGAGCCAAAGGAAAGGAGAGGAAACGTGGGCCAAAGAAGGGGCAAGGAGGCATCAGACAGAAGGGAATGGGCAGGCAAGGGCAGGAAGAGGGGGACATGGGAAGACAGAGTTGAAGCAGCCAGACAATCAAGAGAGGCAGCACGTGGAGGTGACATAAGCCACCCCTTGCTTCCCCTAAGCCCCATTCTCTTTCTTGCTCCCCTTGTCTTGCCTTGCCCGCCAATAGGCCAGCCCTCTGGCAAAGCCTCTCCCGGAAGCTCTCCTGGGTGAAGGCTCTTCCAATCCACCCTCTCCTGACCTAAGCACACGGCTCCCGCCTGCCTCCACCCCTACCCTGGGACTTCAGCTGCTCCCAGAGCTGGCCTGTCTCTCAATTGAAGCAGGAGCTGTGTGACCTCATCTGTGCTCCCAGCAGGTGCTCAATGGGCATTTAGGGGAGGGGAGCTACTGAGCTGCTGCTGGCCCTAGAGCTCTGCTGGGCAAGGGGGACACAGTGCTCTGCTCTCGGCCCAGAGGGGACAGACAACTAAGTACATTTACATTAAGCTAACTAGCTGGTCATCCTCCATCCCATCCCTTCCCTGGCCCAACCAGCAGTGGCCACCTCCAAGCCAGTCAAAGCGGATGAGACTGTGGTCTCTACACGTCCCACTCACCTCGTGTCCCCTTGGGGCAGGGCCTCTCCACCAGCATCCCCTGCTGGGTGGCTGGCCACTGGACCCGCCGTACCTCCCGGGGTTCACAGAAGAGCTCAGGGGACACGTGCAGATTGGGGGCCAGGGGCCGCCGGGTGCTGGGTGCTGGGGCTGTGGCTGGAGGCAGGTCAGGTCCCAGCTGGTTGATGGCACCCACAGGGTGCGTGGTGAGGGGAGCCCGGCGAAGTGGGGTGGTGGCGGCGGGTGAGGCTGTGCTGGTGAGTGGAGTGGGCCGGGCTGTGGTGGTTGTGCTGAGGGGTGGGGAAGTGGCCGGACCTGGAAGGGAGAAAGGGAAATGCCACAGCGTGCCCCCGGCACAGGGTCTTCAAAGGTCTGATCCAAGAAGGGCAGAGTTCCCATACACCCACATAATGTATCAAGAGACCATAAAAAGCCTGAAGTCTGGGAGAATAGTCCAGAGCTGAGAGGCAGGAGGAGGTGTCTGAGAATCACCTCCCCTACTCTTTCTTATTCCAACTCTGGTCTCTCTAACCCACACCATGTCCTTCCCTGCTGGTGTCCTCACTTCCTCCTTTTGAAGACAAGGCCAGACTGAATTGGTGGCTTTCTAACTACTGCTAAGAGCTGGCTCCAGGCTGGGGGGCCAGGAATAATGAGATTATAGAGGACCCTGCCCACATCAATACCAGCAGCCTTGCTTTTACCTATTTTATAGATACTCCCACCCAAATTCTGGCCCACTCAGGGTTCCAGACTGAGGAACTGCTCAAGCTTGGGGGAAAGGCAATGTGGCTTAGTGGGTAGGAACTCAGTGTCCTGGGTTTAAATCCTGATGTATGTGAGTTAGTCCCTCACCCACCCAGGGCCTCAGTTTCCTCATCTGTAAAGTGGAGACAAGGACAGTTCCTGTCTCATGGGTCATTGTGAGGATGAGATGAATTAACAGCTGTCACATGCTGTGGCTTCCTCTTACCCCTAGGTCCCCCAAGCCCACCTCCAGGTCTCCAAGAGCTCTCAGGATACTGCCCACCCAGGGCCCAAAGAGTATGGGCAGGCTCCTGGCCTGGACATGAGCTGTCCTCACCAGCACTGGGGTCGGGTGGCCCAAACTCCAGGCTATAGCGCACCACAAAATAGTTGTTCCAGACGTAGAGCTGGTTGTCACGTGGGTTGTAGTCAACAGAGGAGACAAACTGGTAGGGGTTGGGGAAGGCAAGGCTGACGGGTTCCTCACGATTGGCATTGGTGTTGAAGGCATAGTCCACGCGGTTGCCAGCCGCCTCACTGTCGTCGTCCACATACACAGAGCGCAGCACATAGAGGACACCGCACACCATGAAGGCGTTGGACGCTGAGCGCTTGTCATAGCCCGTCTCCCAGGTGCCCTCGAAGCGCAGAGTGTAGGGGTTGAGCTGGCTCACCACCAGCCGCCCGTTGTTGCCTTCAGTGGCATAGATGACCCACAGCCCATTCTCGTCCACAGCCAAGTCGATGTCGGTCTTGCCACCCCAGCGGTACGGCGAGGTGTCGTGGTAGTTGGCTGTGTTGATGACCGTCTCCCCACTCTTGATGCGCGTCCGGAGGTCGTACTTGACGATATTGCGTGTACGCTCCTTGTTATAGAATACGGCACCATCATAGACCACAAAGCCTGTGCCATCCACACGGTTGGGGAGGCGGTAGGTGGTGGTGTGGCGGGCAGCCACGTAGTCCTCCCATGAGGCGTACTCAGTCAGCGTATCCGTGCGGTAGGGGATCCAGGGCATCACATAGATGCGGTCCCCGGCCTGCAGTGGGTCCTTGCACCATGCACCAGACTGGTGTTCTGACTCATGTGTTGAGGTGGGCTCCAGCACCTTCTGTAGGGTCCCGGGGCACACGAAGACTGGTCCAGGCAGATGGGTGGGGAGAAGAGAGGAGAGGAGCAGGGGCGAGGGAGGGAGAGAGGAGAGAGGCAAGTTGGTCACGGCAGCCAGAGGGGCTGGGCTCTCCCCTCCTGCAGCTGCAGTCATGGTTGCTTGGTAGGGCTGGTGATGGGGAGGGGGTTCTGGGCTGGGACACCCCCCCCCTGCCCAGCTGCCCCTGTCCCTGGAGATGTCAACCCTGGAGGCCAGTAAGAGCAGGGTTAGTGAGGGGGAAGGTGGTGCCCCTCTTTCCTTCCCTGGCTGCTAAGAGACCCCACAGGCTGGGGAGAAGGGGTTTGGCATGGCTCCTCCAGAGACATCAATGTGCTTTAAATGGGCAGAAAGACTTCCCCACTGTAGTGACTCCTGGATGTGTCCTTCCAGGGACTTAATGCCTTCCCACTCCCTCCCCTCCAAAGAGCTAGGGTCAAGGGTCCCATCCTTCACCAACCACACCAGGACAGAGATAATTTTTTTTACTCCACTTTCTTCCTCCTGCAAAAATTGCAAGATAGAATGATATTTCCATACCCACTACGGGTGTGAAGTGCCCCTTTCCAGGACGGGGGAGGCATAGGGCACCAACTCTTCCAAGGGTCATGAAGCAGCCCATGTCCCCCCGATCCCTGAACCACTCAATCAATAACTGAGGGTTTCCTGAGGCCGGTCCCAGCCCAGAGGCCCGGAGAGCCCAGCCCTCCCAGGGCCCCAGGCCCTGCCCCAGCCGGCAGGGTCTCACAGGCTAGGCCCAGCAGCAGACACTGACACTGGTGCACATGGGGGGGGGGGGAGGACATGAGAGGGAGGGGCTCCCAGGAGAGAGGGCAGGGGGAAGGAGAGCTGTGGGGCATGAAGAGAGATGGGGGAGCGGCGAGGTCCTGGCTCCGAGCACTGGAGGCCACCTGGGAAGAAAGGATTAGTGCTGGCGGAGGAGAGAGGGGTGAGCAGAGAATTCACTCCAAGGCCTAGGCCCGACTCAGGGTCCCTCGGGGGTAGTCCCAGGTCCAGCTCGGAGGGGGCAAGGGAGGGAACCAGGTGCTAGGATAAAGACCCAGCCCGCCCCAGCCAGGCCCCCCACCTCCCCTGCCCCGGACCCCGATTTACCTGCGACCATCCCCGGCTCGGGAGGAGGGATCAAGGCAGCGCTGATGTCAGAAAGGTGGGGGGCCCCGCCCCACCCCCCCATTCCCTGAAAAGGAGGAAAACCTCAACTGCATCTCGTTGGCCACCGCTGGCCTGCCCACCCCTGCCCAACACATCCCAGCACCACCTGCTCCTAGCCCCTGTAAAGGGTGATGTGGCTGGCCTCCCCGCCTCTCTTCCTCCACCTCACAGCGGGGTGGTGCCCACTGCCCCTCCACGCAGGTGGGTGGGCCTCCCTCTCACTCCCTGCTAGCAGAACCCATGGACAGGCCAGGGCGAGGGCTGGGGGGGTTGCAGTGAATTCTCTGCTCCTGTTTGGCCTGTTACCAAAGCAGCTGGGCAGGCTGGGGACCTGGCTTAGGCTTGGGGGCTGCCCCAGTGACCAGAATGGTTCAGACTGTAGCCACTGCTCATTCCCACTTCAGCCTTGCCCTTCATTAGGTTTGGGGGGCATCTAGCCCTCCCATAGCCTTGTGGAAAGCCGGCAAGGGGCCCCCAGACACCAGGCAGCCAGGAGCATGCCATTAGCAGGGGGAAGGGAGCCTGAGGCACAGAGGTGGGCAGGGACCACAGTGCCTGTCCCCTAGGTCCTTCAATGCCCGTCTCCATGGATCTGGAGGGCCTTAGGCCTCTGCCACCACCCTGTCCCGGCTGCCCTAAGGGCCAGCCTGCACTGTCTGCCCCTCGCCTCTGTGCCTATCTCCCCTCTCCCCGGGCCCCCTTCCAGGTCCACGGCTGGCATCTGAGTTGATGTGTGTGTGAAGGGGGTGGTGGAAAGTCTCAAAGCCTGACCTGGTTAAGGGGCTGGGGGAGGAAAAACATGGTTAGAGGTTATAGGGGAAGGGGGAGCGGACGAGGAAGGGCTGCCTGGGGCCTTTGACAGCAAAGATCCCTCCCAAGCACCAAGGTCCCATATCCTCCTCTTTACTCCCCCTCACCCTGCCCCTCCCCTCGAAGAAAAAAGAATCCAAGGCTGTGCATCCAAACCGGGCCTGCAAGAAGAGTGTCTGGTGCTGGGTGGGAGAGAGACTCCAGGAGAGAGCAGGGAGGGGTGCCTCTTAGAAGTGGGGAAGGGGTGGAATGGGAGGGGAGCAGCTCAGAGGGACCACACCCCACCTCCCTCACAGGGGATGCTCCACAGACCGTAATTTCAAGGCCCAAGGGTTTCCAAAAGGCAACCCCATCCAGCCCTGCTCCTTGGGCCAGCCTCAGCTTTGTCAACTGCCCAAAACTTTCTCAGGTGCAAGTGAATCTCCAGCTACCACTGTCTCTGCTTCTCTGTTGATGGTTCAACAGGCAAGAAATTACGGTCTTCATGGAAGTCCCCAAACCCGCCTGTGCCCTCCCAGGGGCCTCTCCCTTCCTCTAACCACAACAGCCCAGAAGAAACCCTGACTGCAGCTTCGCAAGTGCGAAAGAGACAGAACCCCCGCGAGGCCCACCCCCCACCCCTCGGCCCCCCTTTTGGCAGGCTGCCCTCCCCCAGCTGGGAAGAGCTTGAGACCCCTCCCAGGACTGGACCCCCAGCTGGTGGGAATGGGGGTGGGGGGTGGGCTGGTGCTCCGTGCTCCAAAACAGCTCTGGGCCTTGGAAACGCCAAACGCCAAACCAGAAAGAACTTAGGAAACCACTAGGAGCCCAAGGAGAAATCTGCTCCCCAAAAGGAAAACCAAGGTATCCCACCTCCACCCCACCGCCCTCAAACCGGAAGCACAAAAGGCAGGGGAGGAGGAAGAGGAGAGAGCCGGCTCCCATAGAGCCCCAGCCGGGAGCTGGGATGGGGCCCTCCCCCCACCCACCCTGGATGCTTACACACTTCTCCTGAAGAGGCAAAAGAAGTATGAGAGGAGGCCAGGTCCCTGGCAAGGGCTGAGGACTAGGAAGGAGGCAGGGGGAGAGGAAGAGAGAGGCAGAGAGAGAGAGACAGAAAAGTCCTGCCCGAGCTCAGAGAGGAGCTTCCGAGGGTGTCTGGAGGGTAGAGACGCCCGTGGCAGCACCAGGGCTGGCCCCACCGGGAGGACACCCAGGGTGGGGTCATCGACTGGACCAGGTGGGGAGGGGAAGGGGGGTGGGGTCACATTAAGTATGGGCACAGGTAGAACAAAGTGTGAGTTAGGGGTTAGCATTGGTAACAGTGCTTTTACCTTTCTGCTCCACTTCTACTTTAAGCATCGGAAGAGAGAGAGAAAACAAATTGAAAAAAAAATGTGCAAGAAAAAAAGAGAAAAAAAAAAAAGAGATTAAATTGCTTTTGTTTCTTTTCTGGCAACACGCCCCCTTTTCCTTTCCTTCCTTGCTCCTGCTTCCCCAACCCCATAGGTAGCATCAGTTCAGCCCCCGCCCCCAAGTCCCTTCCTCTGGGAGTAGGATGGGGCAAGGGAGTGTTGGGGAGACGTCACAGAAAGGGGGAGACACACAGGAGGACAGAGACAAAGAGAGACACAGAGGTGGGGGAAGGACAGGGCAGGCAGACAGAGCCCTCAGATCAGAGGGGAGACCCTCTGTGCAGAGAAGGGGGCAGAGGGGCAAGGGGAGCCCCAGCTGGGGGATGGGCTCTGGTTAGGGGGCACCAGGGAGGGAGTGGAGTGGAGGAGCCACTCTGACCCCCTCCCACCTGCCCAGGCCCTCCTGCTGGCACAGGGGCGGGGGAGGGGGGATGAGGGCGTTCAGTGCCCAGAGGGCAGGCTGAACTCCTCACCCTCTGGGCTGGCCATGTTCAAGTCCAGCTGAGTTCCCCAGGCCCTCATCGCCCAGAGAGCAAACACAGAGAGAAGGTGGCAGAGCCAGACACAGTGACGGGGAGGCAGACAGGCAGTGCACCCCGGCCTCAGAGCAGACCAGGACGGGGAGATGGAGGCCAAGAGGTGAGAGGCAGGAGAGGACACAGACGGGGCCAGACAGCACACGGCGGGCACAGACACCCCCGCTCACGGGGAGCCCACAGCTGGGTTTCTCCCCCAGCCCCCCGGGCCCAGGAGCTGGGAGCTCTGCGCCTGCCCGCACCTGGGGGAGGAAGGGGCACGTTAGGCTGTGCTCAGCTGCAAGGCAAATCCGGTGTTAGTTGGGCTTGTCCAAGGGTCCCAGACACTCACTCCCCATTCTCCACAGTTGTCTTTACCACCCACCCCTGACCCGCCCTCAGCAGCACTGGGGTCACCCTCAGGGTAGGGGGCCCAGTCTCTGAAGCCCAGGGCAAAATGGCTGCCGGCCACTTCCACGAGGGTCTGCCTCCTGGTCCCTCCTCTCTCTGGGTGGCCTTGCCCAGGCCCTCTTGAGGCCCCAGCAGGGCATCAGTAGGGGCAGTGCTAGCTCTCAGCACCTCACCCAGGCCTGGCACATGGGAGGTGCTCAGCGATCGTTGGGGGGACAAATTAGCATCCTGCCTTCCTGTCCTCTGGCCTCACTTCCATTGCCCCTTCTTCTAGCCCACCTGCAGCTCTGTCCCACACACGTCTGCCGTGTCTGTGCTGTCTCCCCGAGGACTCAGGCCATCTCTCCCATCAGACTGAGAGCTGCCCCTGCCCAGGGCCCCCCTGGACTTTGTGACCCCCCACACACTTGGGCTCAGCTCCAGCAGGTCGCTAAACTCTGTCCCACCTCTATTTGCTGCCTATGTAGATTAGACTCCACTGAGATTTTCCCTGCCCTTTACACCACGTCTGCCTTGGAAGGAACTGCGTTACTCATCTGCTGTTGTTTTCGTTTTGATTGTTAACAGCAATACCAATTGGCAAGATTCACAGCCAGTGGTCACAACAAAAGCAGTAACTACCAAGCGTATGGCACGTACTAGAGATGCCGGGAACCATGCTCACACTGCCTGGTCCATAGATGGGGAAACTGAGGCTCAGGGAGGTGAAGCCACAGGGCTGAGGCCACCCGGCTGGCCAAAGCAGCACCATTTCCTTCACACTTATTGCTAGGGGCGCACACTAGGTGCTTTACCCACACAGCTCTACTTCCAGTGTCCCAGGGAAGGCCTTACTGTCTCCCCATCACAGATGCAGAAACAGGCTCAGTCAGCTGAAAAGAGCATTTTGGAACATCACTGACCACGTCCTGAACCACCAGGCTCTGAGCTGGGCACTGGGGGTGGGTGTTGTAAAGACAAAGCCTCTGCTCTCAGGGAGTCTATACTATATTCAGTATTTAAAACTCTGGGACTCAGTCTCTAGCCCAAGGCCAAGTGCTTGACATGCACAAACTCACGCCCCTCCCCTCTTTCTGTGGCAGCCCAGAGAAATGAAGTCATTCGCTCAAGGTTTCAGCACCAAAAAGTTCAAGAGCCAGGACTCGAACCCAGGCTTAGCTTCCCCCGTGCTACGCTTGCTGCCTCCCAGCACCTCCCCACTCCCCTGCTGTCCCAGACACGGGGTAGGCAGTGTCCCCAGTGCTGTGGGGAGGCTTCAAGGAGCAGATGGGCGTCCCCCTTGGCTGGTGGCTGGAGGCCTCAGTTGCTGAAAGGAAAGGGCGAGGAGTGAAAGAAGAAAGTTACAGAAGTACATGAGTGATCCTGTTACCCCAGCGCAGTCACCTGCAAGGAGAAATCAAAGGTTGGGGGGAAGGCTGGGGTGGGAGTGGAGAGGAGGGAGAGTTATAGGGCTTCCTGCTCCCTCTGCCCCCCATGCTCAGACACCCTGGTTGCCCTGCCTCCTCTCCCCTCCACCCCGAGGCCCTACCTCCAGGTGGTTGGCTACATGAAGCTGGGAGAGGAAGGGGGAAGGGGTGAAGGAGAGGAAGGAGGGAAAAGAGAAGGTGGGAAAGAAGGGCGATGTTGAAGGAAGGGTGCTGAGGAGGAGAGACCCTGTCTTTGTCTGCTCCCCTTGGCCGGGTACAAGACAGCCAGGCTCCTGGCTCCCCAGATCACCTTTCTCAGGCTCCCTGGGGACCACTGACAGGCCAACATGGCAGCACTTCCCTTGCAGACAGGAAGTGCTATTACAGTAACGGACAAACCAACCAGGAGACAGGAATCCGCTGAGGATGCCCCCAGCCCTTCACACAGGATCTGCCATCAGGCCTCAGAGGGTCCATCAGGCCTCAGAGGGTGGTCTGCCTTGCCATAGCTGGCAAGAGACTGCTTGCTGGATTGAGTCCAGCTTCCGGGACTGGGAGGGTATACAACAGGAAGGAGTGTGAAGAAGGGACAGGAGTCCGGGGATGTGAGGAGTGGGGAGGGAGCAAGGGAGAGGAAGTGAGAGGGGTCAGGAAGGAAAGGGTGTGAGAAGAGGAGGGAGCCAGAGGGTTTGGAGGGCAGCAGTTCCAGGGAGATGTGAGCGTACAAAGCAGAGCACAGGAGTGCGACTGAGTGAAGGGGTTGTGAACAAGAGTTGGAGAAGGTGCCCTGTGAAAAGGACAGAGTCTGTGAAGAGTGGGGACCAAGTGTGGAAGGGTGTCTTGCAGAAGAGAGTGTGACGGAGGGAGCAGGCCCAGCTGTCCGCTAAGTGCCCAGTGCACGTGGCAGGTCAAGGTGTCTCCTCCTCGCTCACTCAGGAAAAGGGCCCATATCACACAAAGAACAAGATGACTCACTGTAGGGAACACAGTCGTACTGCACCTCCAGGTACTTGTAGGTCCCTGGACAGGGGTCAGGAAAGGCATCGGAGCCGGCGACCACCACACACTGGGTGCGGTTGTTACACCTGCGGAGGAGAGACAGGGAGCTGGGAACAGACCTAGAATGGGGGGCAGGCCCCTTTCTTTCCCAGCCCACAGGGTCAGAGCAGGAATAACTAAACCAGTTCCTAGGCAGTCAGTTCTGACACATGGTGACGCCGTGGGCTTTAGAGGAGAACTGTGCTCCGTTGGATTCTCCACAGCTGTGATCTTTCAGAAGTACATCCCCAGGCCTCTATTCTAATGCACCTCTGGGTGGGTTCAAACCACCAACCTTTAGGTTAGCAGTCAAGTGCTTCATCATTCGTGCTACCCAGAGACTAACCTCAGGGAAGGAATGAACAGGAATGAACACACAGCCCCCATCAAAACTGGGAAGGATCAGTGGGGCTGGAGACCAAGAGCAGAGGCCTTGCCTGGGTGTTGTTTTCCGTTTCCTGCCTGCTTGCTCCTTCCCACTGGGGAGGGTCTCCCCACTCCACCCCGTTACAGCGTTGAACACAGGACTGGGCTGGAGGATGTGCCCTACAAACAAGCTGCCCTTTATCACATGTGTTACGGTACTATTACATCCTTGGTATTTTTAACTTGACTTTAAAGCCCTTTCATTGCTCACCAAATTAGCACATGAGGCCATACGTGTGTGGTGCTATCTTTCTTCAGAATGGACACATCTTACTCTCAGAATGTTCAGTGTCCACCTCCGAGTGTCTCAGGGCCAAGCGTGGTCCACGAAGCACTCTTTGGGCAACGCTGCTTTAAAGAGTTACAGCAAGAACAGGAAGGAGAAGGGCCGAGTCCTCACCGTGTGGAAAATCCATCCCTGAGTCCCCGGGAACTCCCAAGTCCCTGTCAACTTCTCAAGAGTCTAGCTAATATGTAAAGGGAGACCTACTTAATAGAAACAAACAAAACACAGATATCTGCTGTCCGTCTATCTGTCCTCACAGGGTCTCCATTCTTGGAGTGGGCCAGGTCTAGACCAGACAGGACTGCAACCTGCCTGTGAGTGTGCAGGGAGTGGTGCATGGGGCTTCGTGACAGGTACAGGCAGAGTGGGCCCTGTGTCTTCCTTTCAGTCCTACCCTCCACTAGTCAGTGCTCACCACTGAGGCAGAAATGCCAGGAAGGGCTAAGGGCCTGCCAGGGAGGGTAACAATGGGGGCATGGCGGGGGTCTACTCATATTTCCACCCATCCTACCGCCTTCCTTACAAATAGAACACTTGCCTCAAAAAGTTAAACAGTTACCACAACCTAGCAACTCCACGCTAGGTCTACACCCAAGAGACCTGAAAGTAGTGACTCAAACAGATACTCGTGCTCCAGTGTTCACTGCCCATTATTCACAACCAAAATGGAGACTCTTGCCAAAAGGCAAGAGACGGCACTAGCATCTCAACAGATGACAGATACACATGATCCATCACAGCTATATAATGGAATATCATTCGACCGTAAAGAGGAACGAAGTTCTGATACATGCTACAACATGAACTCTGAAAACATTACACCCTGTGAAAGAAGCCAGACACAAAAGACAAGTGTACCTTCCATTTGTATGCAATGCCAGGATCCACAGAAGCAGGTTAATGGTTGTTGGGTTAGGGAAGGGAAGGGAGGGCTTATTGGGTAAGGGTTTCTTTTTGGGGTGGTGAGAACTGGGTAGAAGTGGTAGTTGCACAACACAGCCTGTCCTATATGCCACTGAATCATGCCCCTTTAAATGGGGTATTCTGTTATATGAACTTCACCTCAATAAAAACACAGAAGGCCCGCCCTTGGTGGGAGATTCCATGTCCCAGCCTCCCCTGCAGCTAGAAGAGCATGTGACCAAGTGGCAAGTGAGATGGGAGAAGGCTTCACTATGCCTTTAAAGGGCAGGGCAAGGGGAGGTGCCCGCCACCTCACTGCACATGCTGACTGACGACAGGCAGCAGTGGGGATCTTTAGGTCACTGTGTATACTTTGGGGTGTCTGTTACCTTTCAGCTGCCCCTCACCCCACAGTAACTGCTGCTCAGTGCATGCATCCCAGCTGGGCCAGGTGCCCCTCAAGGCACTGGGAACAGTGGAGACCAACTCAGACGCCACAGCAGGGGAACGAGGGTGAAGGTGGTAGGATGAACCTGGAGGGGCAGGAGGGATGAGGAAGCAAATTCCCGAGGAGGAGGGGCACAGCATAAACAAAGGCTCGGAGGCTGGAGTGGGGCTGCCGGGGGTGTCAAAAGACAGCAAGTGGAGAGGAGGAGTGAGACCGCTGGGAGAGGGGGATGAGTGTGCAGAAGGCAGCCAGGAAGGTGCCTGGAAGTGGCTACACCCCGCCCAGCCCACCTGTCTCAGCAACCCGACCATACCCATCCCCTGCCCAAAACTCTCCTGAGGTCCTCCGTTAGCCCAGACCCATTCTGGGACCCTCCACCAACATTCACGGAGCCGCACAGGCTGGCCCGGCCCCTCCCCTCCTACCAGCCTAGGTCTAGGCCCTGGAGTGAACCTGGCTCTCAGGCACTCGACACAAACTGCGTGAGCATCTGCCGTGTACCTGGCTGTGTTCTGGGCACTGTGGACATGGTAGTGATGGACAAAACTCCCCAGGCCCGTGAGGCTAACAGCCCAGTGAGGGCAGGGTGAAACCACACACACTAAGAAGGCAAAGAACCAGATAGAAATACAGACAGAAATCAGGGCTAAGAGAAAAATAAAGCAAGGTGGGGGCTGCACATTTAGAGAAGGTGGTCTGGAGCCCTCAGGAAAGGGAAGGAGGAGTTCTGTGGATGTCAAGGAACAGCATCCCAGGGAAAGGGAACAGTCACTGTGGAAGCTCTGAGTGAGAAGAGCCTGACGTGTGTAGGAACAGGCTGGGGCGGCTGGAGCCTAGGAAGCGGGGGGAGGTAAGGAAGGTACAAGGGAGAACGTGCAGGGCCTTCTGTGCTGCAGGAGGACTTGGGGTTCTGCTCTGGGAGAGGTGGGAACTGTGAGGATTCTGAGCCCGAGGAGGACCGCCTGAACTGCCTCAGGCGCTCGTAGGTGCACCTGGCCCGGGGGACAGGCGGTAGCAGGTCAGAGGGGCAGAAGAGCTGCTAGAACCCAGCAAGAGACGGCAGGGAAGCAGTGGTCAGATCTAGGCATAAAATGAAGGGCGAGCCGATGGGCACTGTAGGTGGATGCTGTTCGTGTGCACCAGGCTCTAGCCTTGCACTCACACTGCCTCACCCTGGGACACCCTCCCTCCACACACGCACACTCTCACGCCTGCACTCACACACACATCCAACACACATCACCCATACTCACACAGCCACATGTTCACTCACACTCACACACAATATACAACCACATGTCCACTCTTACATTCACTCACACTCAAACACAATACACAACCACACTCACTCTTATATTCACACACACAATACACAACCACACATACACTCTTACACTCACACATTCACCCACATTCAAACACACACATTATCTTGCTTTAGTCTGGGTGTAGGAGTCATCTTTACAGAAAGATTGACTGGACCTCTCGTGTCTGGGTTAAAAGGTCCCCTACACTCCTGTGACACTTTTACACTGTCCTGCCATTGCTTTTACTTTGCAAGGTCTTCTGCCCCCCACTACCTCAGAATAAGCTTCTGGAGGGGATGAGGGGCAGGGTAGGCCAGTGTTGGGGATAGGCTATTATTGGGAGCTAGGTCCCAGCACTTGGCTGGCACTCACGAGACACGTCTCGACAGGATGGGAGAACGGATGGGGTGCATGCAGGATGGTGCTGTGTGTAGGCACCTCCTCCGAAGCCAAGCCATGGCAGGTGGGTGGCTCACCTCTGCGACATGATCTTGAACGCATCCGGCAGGTAGCACTGCACATTCTCCATCTGGAAGGGGTCGGCGTCGCAGATCTTGTCATCCGTGCGCCCATAGTTGGCGTTCTCCACCATGATGACGTCGCTGCCTGGGCACCGCAGCTCGATGGGGTAGCCCTCGCATGCCAGCTCCCGCCGCATCAGACCGAATGGGAGCCCGGCCCGGCTCAGGCCTGCAGGGAGGGGTTGTCACAGATGACAAGTAAGGGGTCACTGAGTGCAGCCTCTGCCAGCCAGGGAGGAGAGGCCCTGCCGAGGGGGCCCTACCTCCAGCTTGGCTGCGCCAGGAACCTCAGTTTATTCAGCTGTAAAATGGCCTTTTCCCATGCCCAGCTGTGCAGTAAAGAACTTAACCTTGTCCATCTCCAACTAGGCTGTGTCAGGGACACTAGGCCTGCAGACCTCAGTTTACTCTGTGCCCACCTATGCAGTGAAGGGTTTACCAAACCCAAAGACACATCTGGCGTTGGCCCTTGGCTCCCAGGAGATCCTTAAGCCCTTAAATCATCCTGCATTATGGCTGTGTCCATGCTTATCTGGGGGCCCCAGGCCACAACACTCCCATAGGGGCCAGAGGCTGAGGTCAGGCACACAGGTGGCCAACCATGTCCATGTGTTCAAGCCCCAGTAACAGTCCTGGGCACCATCGCTGCCCAGGACTCCAGGGGCAGAGGTTACCTAGGGGCCCCATGTGTGCGGTTCCAGCACCCCACCCTGGGCTCCTCCCCGGCTAACTATCACCTGTGTCATTTCCTGGTCACAAACCACAGCCTGAGCAAAACGACTTTCAGTGAGTCCTTCCAGTGAATGAAAGAACCTGAGGGTGTCTTGGGGCCCTTGAACTGGCATCTGCGCCCATTCCCTAACCTTCCAGCACCCCGTGAAGGAGCAGAGGGTGAGTGGCACACACTCCTGTCTTGGCAGAGAAAGCATAGACCTGCTCTGGCTGCGGCCAGGGAGCGTGTCCTTCAGGCCAGGCCTCAGCAGTGTGGGTCAGGGACCGATAGCATCAGGTACCCCCTGAGGGCTGGTTCAAAATGCTGATTCTGGGCCTTGCCCCAAATGTGCTGAATCAGAACCTCGGAGGTGAGGCCAGGAGCCTTCCCTCGCCTGGTGAGCCTGACACACACATAAGCTCAGGCAACCTACAGCTCTAGCCTCCCCAGGCCTCAGTTTCCTGATCTGTAAAATGGGCACCCAGGGTTGGACTGTGGGGAATCCATGGATTAGAGAATGCTGTCAGACAAGGCACTGAGCCTCTGCACCTGGGAAAACCCCCAGGGTCGCCATGAAGGTGGAGTGTGGTCTGGGTAGGAGGCCTAGTGCCTGGTAGGGCATCAGCACATGGCAGTCCCCACCCTGGGCTGTGTGGGGTGGATAGCCTGGGCTCAGATCCCCACTCGTCTAAGTCACTGGCAGTCGCTGGGCCTTTGGCTCCTCCCGAGGTACAGTTTGAGGGACTCGATTTGCCACGCGGGCCAACCCCCTGGCCCTTGGCAAGATGCTAAGGGCACGCAGCTGCTGTTACTAACCCTGCTCAAGCTGCCACTCTGAGCAGGGCAAGGGGCTCAGGCCTGGTCCACTGCCAAGGCAACTGCTTTCTCTAATACTGGTCCCAGTCACACCTTGCAGTGTGCAGGGGGAGGCGCTGATACAGAGTGCCCTGGAGGTGCCAACTCGGGGACTGTTCTTTGCAGCTGTAGGGCATGACTGCCTGGAGCACCAAACTGCCTGAAGGTACCAGGGCAGGAGGGGAGACCAAGCAAAGTGGCCTTTCCTGGAAGATGGGCCTGTGCTGGCTGGGGTCCCCTGGCTGTGGCAGCTGGGTCGTGGGGTTTCTTAGGGTGAGTCGAGTCCCAGTTGGGGAAAAGTTTTACATGTGTTCCTCTCAACACCATCTGCTCCCCCAGCTAATTTTAGCTATTCCCTCGCTGGGAGGGAGGGCTGGGGGGTGGAGGGCTGGCTCAGGCGGGCCTGGGGGTGGAAGCAGCGCCTCTGGGCCTAGCTGGGGCTACGGTGTAGGACCTGGATGGGCAGAGAACATGGGGCGGCAGGGTGCTGCTGGCTGGGCAAGGCCAATGCCCAGGGGCCCCGATGAGCAATGCCACCTTCACCTTCAGGCCCTCATGGGCGACGCTGGGAGCAGGGCCATGGCCAATGCCCCTTACTCAGGCTGGGCTAGCCGGCCAAAGCATGACCAGGGCAAGGGGTACAGCCAGGAGGCCCCTTCCCTTGGCCTATCTCAGCGCCTGTGCCCGCCAGCTGCCACCAGAAGCTTAATTGAATAATCGGGTTGGGTGGGCGGTGGCTCGGGGTGCTAATTGTGGCCTGCAAAAGATCCCGGGGCCGGCACAGGGCCGAGCTGGGTAATTAGTTGTTTTTAAATAAACGTCAGCGGGCATGCTTTAATTAAGCCTTCTTCCCAGCGAGAGCTTGGGAGATGTAATCACAGAGAGAGAGACACGAGACGGAAGCGTGTAGGCGCACCAGGACGGCATGTCCACATCCCAGGGGGCCACAGCCATATCCCCAGCTCTGGGGCCCCCAGTGGGACAGCCCCTGGAGCCCTGCTGGGCAACTTGTTGGGGTACAGGGACGGTCAGTGGCTCCTCAGAGGTGGCAGGGTGCAGTGTGACCCCCAAATCACTCTCAGGCTGGCCCCCTGCATCCTTGGGTGGGTGGGCAGCTCTGGGTGGGGCCCTACACCGTGCACAGGACAGCAATGTGCTCAGCCTGCATGGCTGCTGCAAGCTGCCCTGCTGGCAGGTTTTGGAGATATGGTCCTTCCCCAGTCCCAGGAGCACCTACCTTGGGTGGCTGACGTGACCAGGACAGCAGTGACGCAGAGGCTCCAGAGCACAGCGGCCAGGCGGGCCATGGCGGCAGCAGCCAGAGGCGTGTGCGGAGCTCTCAGTGGCCTGCTCGGGGGGCCTTGCCCCGCATCACCGGGCGGGCACCAAGGCCTGGCCCACCAGCCTGGGGAAGGACAGGAGAGTGAGGCGCCATACTGCCAGGCCCAGGACATTATCCTTTCCTCCTGCTAGCGGTCAGGCCTTCCCTCCCAGGGCAGTGGCAGCCAGCACCTCCCAGGGGCCGGCTGCAAGGACAGAAGCTGTAGCCTCGAGCCAGAGGCAGACCTGTCCTGGGCACCCCTCCCTCTGCCTCTCAGGACAGACCCACTGCCTGGGCACCTCGGACCTCCACCTTCCCCACAGGAACCTCCTGGGAGCACAGTCGTGTCCAGTGGCGGGGCAGCTCACGAGGCAGCAGCTGCAGACAGCACACCTGCACCCGGGCAGGCCACAGACCCCGCGCTGGAAGCCCCGCTCCTCCATTCCTAATCCTGACCCCTGCCCGCTCGTCACCATACTCGGTACCCTCACCGGCCAGGAGGAGGATACTGGACCTCGTCCTCGGTTAGGACCCAGGTGTCCTGCTCGCAACCTCTGGTCGTGGGCAGGAATCCAGCTGCCTGCCCTGAGCCCCTGCTTCCTGTCTCTGGCATCTTGTAGCTAATTAGAATGCGGCTGGCTGGCGCCATGGACGGGGACAAGGGACGCCTGAGTCCCCTCTTTCCCCTGCAGGGGACCCTGGGGGTAAAGCTGGAGACAGGCAGGCGGGGTGGGAGGGGAAGGTGCTGCCCTTAGGGAAGCTAGGAGGGGAGCTGGCACATCACCCCCACTCCCACCTGCTCCTTCCTGGCAGGCTCACTGGCCTGGGGGTCAAAGAGCTCAGCTGCTCCTTCTCACCTCTCTCCCCAGCTTGGTCTCCCCATTACCCTCAAGGCTGCTGCCCCAGCCCACCAAGTGTGGTCCCAGCCCACAGGCATCAGCGTAGCAGGGAACTTGCTAGAAACCCACATTCTCTGGGGAAGCCCAGCACCCCACGTTTAAATGGGCCTCCTCAGTGTGTAAACCACCCCTCGGTACTCTCCGGCAGCAATCCTAGCTCACCCCAGGTGCTCAGCACCTCCTCTTCTCAGCCTGGAGCCTGTCAACAGAGATCAACCGTCAAGTCAACTCCAACTCACGGTGACCCCACGTATGTGAGAGTAGAGCCGTGCTCCACAGGCTTCCCCATGAGTGATTTCTCAGACAGAGATCACCAGGCCTTTCTGCCAAGAAGCCTCTCAGTAGACTGGAACCTCCAACCTTTCAGTTAGCAGCTGAGCATGTTAACTGTTGCACCACCCAGGAGCACCCAACAGAGCTCCA